ACTGTGGAAGCCCCAGAGCTCCCTCCTTCCCCTGCCCTCTGCGCCCCAGCACGACTAAAGGCCTTGCTTGTTCAGGAGCTGGCAAGGCCAATTAATCTAATGAGGTTTTGCAGCCAGGGACCATTGTCAGCCAAGAAAGGCACAGCACTGCGGAGCGAGGCACCGGTGTCTCCTAAAGCCAAGGGAATTTGGCAGAGCAAAGCCCGCGGTAAAAGCAGGGACGAGGAGCAGCAGGGACAGAGCCTTTTGTTGCTTTTCACCAAGCAGCAAGAAAACAGAGCCCCATGGACCGAGGCCAGACGAGGCACCTGAGCTCAGGGCCAGCAGCCACCGCTGCCAGGCACAGTCAATGCACAAGGGACCCGGAGCTGCAAAATGGAGGCAAAAAGCTGCAGCAGCCCCTTCCCAGCACAGCTGCAGCAACTCTGCTCTGCAAGATGGAGCCCAGGTTCATTTCCTGTGGCAGGGAGTGCTGCAGGGAGGCTGCAGGCTGCTTCTGGATGGGGCTTCCTTGGTGCTGTGACCCTCAACTTCCCACTGTTACCAGCCCCCAGCCCACCCCGGGATGGGAGATGTGTCTGTGCCCATGGTGTGTGCCGGACAGCTCGGGCTGCACCAGCTCTCCCCAGCCTGTGCCTGGGCACCCCCACAGACACTGGGCTCCCCAGAGCCCCCCCTGGCAGCTGCACTGAGGACACAAGGCCAGGCATGGCCCCGCAGCTCCCAGGAATGAGCCAGGTCTGCCCAGAGCAGCTGTGACTGCCCAGCCCCGGAGTGTCCCAGGCCAGGCTGGATGGGGCTTGGAGCAGCCTGGGATAGTGGAAGGTGTCCCTGCCCATGGAGTGAGATGGGATTTAAGGTCCCTTCCAGCCCAAACCCTTCCATGACTCCAAGCCACACACAAAGCCACCGCAGCCCATGCCAGGCTCACACCCCCCACAGTAACACACACAGGCACCGACTGGATAGAAAGGTTTTATCAAGTTTTAAAAAAGAATCAAAAAAATTATTAATTTTTTTTTTTATACATGTACATTACAAAATATTTGCAGTTGGGATCTTCATCCAGGGGTTACTGAGCTGATTATTAAAAACAACAAAACAAAGCAGCAGGAAATCTGGCTTATACAGCAACCGACAGGGAAAAGCACAGTCATTACACAGGAATACAGGAGGCAGGGAATCTGCACTGGGATGTGCAAGTATGGACCAGGGGCAGGCTCTGATCCCCCACAGCCACTGCCTCCCTGCAGAGTCTGGCCATCAGTGTTTATTTTGCTGGGGTAAAAAAAAAACGGACAAATCTACAGTATTTTGCTCACAAGTTTGGGGCTTTTGTCCTTTTTTCTTCTTTCTAAGCAAAGTTTCACTGCTGAAACTCCTTTGGTCTGAAGTGAGGAACCCCCTGGACCCTGAGAGTATCCATCAAACGCTGCCTTTCCGACCCCCAGGCTGGCTGGGTCCGTGGAGGGCACTTCCCATCCCTCCTCTCCCACCTTATCTCCTGCTCAGCAATAAACCCCTAAGATACAAGTGGAATAATTACTCTTATAAATATATTTATATCATGTAGGAAAATAAGGCACTTCAGGAGGGGTTACAGCTTGTCTAATTCTATGACATTATAATCAGGAAGAAAAATGGGTTAGTTTCTGAAGTGAATTAAAATGAATGTTAATACAGTAATAAAAACATCAGATCCACTTCCACTTCAAGGCTTTGTTTAAAAAGGAAGAGAAGAAAGCACCCCCGAAATCCAAGAGCAGTGAAACCTGACCCGGGGCAGCTGCATCTGCCCTGCCAGGCAGCTCTGTCCCAGAGCCCCTCCAGGGCAGGGACTTCCAAAAGAAACACGTTAAATAAGTTCACGTTCCGCAAAAAAATACAAAATCCCATCTACCCTTTCCCTGAAATGACACTCTGCACGACTCCTCAGCCATCTGGGACCTCGGGGAGCCCCTCCCTGGCTCTGATAAGGAGAGGAGAAGCGGTGAAGGTCACCGGCTGCGGGCTGAGCCCGGGGAGCCGGGCCCAGGCTTTCCCAGGCAGGGAAGGGGGGCGGCGGGGGAGAGGCTGCCGGGAGCAGCAGCCAAGCACCGCGGCCGAGGACACTGAGAGAATGTTTAACCAGGGAAGGGAAGGGAAGGGAAGGGAAGGACTCACAGCCCCGAGCCAGCGCCAGGATGGGTGAAATGGCTGCGAGGGCGAGCAGCAGCCCCGGCCTTCGGGAAGTGCTTGAGGTTCACCCCAGCCCCACAGAAGGGGAGGAAGGAGTAAGAGCCCACGACACGAGGGCAGAGATGGTGGGGCAGCCCTGCACTTCCAGCATAGCTGCTCTGTCTTGTAAAGGTTGGTTTTGGCACCTCTCCTCCTCCCCTACTGCTTTCAAAAACATTGAGCTCACTTGGTGGCCCAGAGCTCTGCGATTTTGCAACCAAGCTCAGAGATGGTCCCTCTCTAGAGCAGCTGTTTCCCAGGGATCTCCACACAAAGCCTGCTTGGCAATCAGAAATTTAGGGGAAAAAAAGGAAAAAAAGCAGCAATCAAAGGAGATTTAAAAACACTCCAACAACCAACCTCCCCTACCTGTCCACAACCCTTCTGTTCAGGATCCTGCAGGTTGGATTCCTGCCCTGGGATGGGATTCGGGAGCAGAGGGTGCTTCCAGCAGGCTTGCAGGGGCAAGGCAGCGTCCCTCCCGCTGCCTGCAGGCCAGAGGAGCTGCCTCCATCCTGCCGTGCCCACAGCAGCATCTCTGAGCAGCAGGCCGAGGGGAGGGACGTGTCCCCAGGGCTCCAGGCATGGCCCTGCCTCACACACCATCCACTGTGGCTCAGGGACTGGGGCACTTTTTGGTATTTCAGGCCACAGGAAGACTCGCTCCCCTTTCCCAACAAGGGCTAAGTCTAGTTAAGGCAGTCTCAGATTTAGCCAGGTTTGGCATTTGCAGGCTCCTCGTTCCCTGTGTGGTGCTGCTGTTAGGCTGGGTTAGCTCAGGGCCTGCTCTTCCAGGAAGCTTCTCTCAGAGCAGCCAGAGGAGGATGCTCAGAGAGAGCAGAACGAGGCAGTGCCTCTCTCATCCCCTCACCCAGCTTGCAGCAACCCTCCCTCTGCATTTCCAAGTGTTTGCACTGCACCACGGCTCACCTGCACTCCGGGGGTTTGTTCTCTCTTCCAGAACCTGGCACTGGTGCTGCTCAGATGTTCCCAGCCCATCGGGGAGCCTGGCTGCCCACGCCCTCCACGTCCTGCCTGCACACAGAACCCAACGGCGCAGCCGTCCAGGCAATCCCTGCGGTCCCCCTGCTCCCAGCTGGATCCTCCAGCCCATCTCTGCCCTGGCCAAGATTAACACACACACACACACACACAGTGCACACACACAGACACACACACAGTGCACGCACACACACCCACACAGCGCACACGCACACACACACACACACACATTCAGCAACAGCTCGATGGCACAAGCCGAAGCCATCAATCAACTCCCAAGAAGGATTTCCAGCAAGCCTCGGGCAGGGCCCAGCGTCCCAGGTATCAGCAACATCATTAAAGGAGGCGAGGCAGGGAAGAGAGACAGGCACAGGCTGGTGAAATACTTCAGGAAAGGCAAGAAGATGGAAGAGTTGGTCTTAGTGGGACACACATCCCACAACAGCTGGACCCACAACCTCAAAATGACTTTGGAATTGCTTTTTGCATGACCCTTACTGAGTCATGTCCAAATTAAAATACACATCAGGGGTATCTGGGTTAGATTTCCAAGATATGCTCATATTCTATGTAAGGTAACATAAAACAGCAATAAAACCGAGGTCAGCTAGTTCAAATTCCCCATTTTCCCCTGCCAGTACTGGATCTATAGTGAGCAGCCTGGGAATTAATTCACAGGGTTAGTGAGGAGAAAAAATGTTCTCTTAAAATTAACTAATGAATTATAATAACAAAATTAGGGTAGGTTAGGTCTGATGTAACTGATGGGCAACTCAGTTCACACACAAGATGTTTTTAGGCACATGAACTCCCCTCCCTAGGGGGAAGGGAGAAGAAGCAAAGGCAATACCAGCATTTAATTCCTCGTGTTAAAAGTACAGTCACCCTGCTAAAAAAAGCACCTCTCAAACTGCCCTGGCAGGCCAAAGACCACCACAGTGCCTGGTGTTCAGAGAACCCGCCCCAAGCCATCTCCCTTGTCTTAGGCACTGGATTTGGAATTTGAAAACACTATCTCAGCATGAATTGGAGAAAATCAGCCGGCGAGGTCTGGCCACCGCTCAGAGCTGAGCACAGATGTGTCTCAGTGGGGCAGAGGCTCTGCTTTCCCAAGAGTGGGAATCTGAGCAAGCATCCTGCCCTCGTCTTACATCCCTCTGTGCAAGTCTCCCCTTGGCAAGGCAGTCCAGGAGATCTGAGGAAGGTAAAGGCAGCTTCTAAAATAAAAGAAGCTCCTCCTTACGCTGCACCCAGGGCACTCTGCAGCCTGGAAGCTGGGAAGTGCACCCCACACAGGGTGATCTGGAATTAATACTCAGGGGTCAGGGGGGAAAAAATGGCCAAAAACCTGATTATTTGACAGTGGGATGCAGTAGAGAACTGACATTTAAAGCCCATTTTCTTGCAGCACTACCAGTATTCACTGGCAAGGAAGAGCCATCAGATCAACTGTCTGCTGTTGCACTGAGAAAACCAGCTGAAAATGTCCTTCATCCAAAAGGCCACATGGCCACAACAGGATCATCCATCTTTACTTTAAAAATCCCTCAGGATGGAGGGTTTATATGTGTTCTGCCTGGTGGCATCAAAAATCTGGAGGTTTAGCTCTCTTTTAAATAAGCAACCGTTACACCCCCTCCAGCTAAATCCCAACGCCGCATCCTCAGTGTCCACGAGGAGACTTTTTGGAAAGGCAGAGCACAAAGTCCTGCCAAAGCTGGAGGGGGAGGGAGAGGGGAGATATGCTGCTGGTTGTCTGAAAACCCTTGGCACATCTTTGGTTACAGGATAAAAAGGATGTGGTGCAAGGTTTGGCCACCTGATTCTGTAAGAAGCGAACCCAGGAGAGAAGGGAAAGGAGGGGATGGGAGCGTGGCTAATCCGACCATTCATCCTCGTCGAACTCGGAGGAGTCGTCCTCGGAGTCGCTGTACTCCACCGCGATGCGGCGCGACAGGATCGTGGCCACGTCGTTCCCCACAACATCCCGCTTCTCCTGCTCCCGCTGCTCCTCCACCTTGCGCAGCTGGAAGCCTGTGGAGAAGAGGGAATGGAGGGGATCGTGCTAAGGGCTTGGTCACACTTCCATCTCCCCTTGTCACAGTGCTCGGAGCGAGGCAGGCTGGGAGTGCAGGGCTAACACCGATGGGTGACAGCCAGGACGGGCTGGGTGGGGAGCTGAAATGGGAAGCAAATCCCTTCTGTGCCCCTCCACAGGGTAACCTCACTGCTGTGCGTTCCCCACCACACCTGGATCACAGCAATTCCAGCACTGCCATCTCCAAAAGTGCTGGGGGAAGCATAAAGCGCAGCAAGGTGCTCACGGGGGTGGGCAGATGAGGAGGGTCCACAAGGGACAAGCCTTGAACAGCAAGGCAGTATAACACTCCCAGGGGTTTTCCAGAGGCACAGGAGAATGCTGGCACGGAAACACAACCTTACCTTGCCGAATAGCCGAAAGCAGATCACTCCTGGCATCGCTGACCGCAGGCAAGGACGACTTGGGCTTGGATGTGGAGGTGTCGGAGGGTGGAGGAGGGGGTGGGGGCCCGTCCAGGCCGCTGGAAGCCAGGGGAGGTGGGCCTGGAGGAGNGGGAAGCCCATGGGAGGTGGTGGAGGGGGGGTGTTCTCCATCAGTGGTGGTGGTGGAGGAGGAGCTGGAGGGGGAGCAAAGCCTGGCCTGGCTGCCAAGGGGGATCCGATGGGAGGAGCTGGTGGTGGGTGGCTCGGGCTAACCAGGCTGGATCGTTTGGGCCCTCCGGAACCAGAACCTCTTTGGTTGTCTACGGGATAACTGTGGCAACAGAACAAGAGAGACAGGGAATTAGCCCTGAGGCCAGATCAGACTGTACAGTCTCCATGTTAATGCAAATCATGTGTGTTTGCTGCAGTCCAGACAAAAAAATCCAAGTTCCAGCTTTAACTGATGTTTCCATGAGACATCACTCCTTGGTTTTAGTTCCCTCACACTGTTTCTTTTGGCCTTCACCTCCAGAACAAAGGAAAGCTTCTAGGGATGGCAGGAATGCTGTCCTGTCCTCATCCCACTCCCAGGCTGACAAGAACACGAGCCACCTCAGCTCCATCACCTCCTCACTTCCCTCAGAGGCCAGGCGGGCACGACCGAGTTGGGAGCAGCCTCCTGGCCCCAGTCATCACCCACTCCTGCCATCACCCCTCCTGGGTGACTCTGGGGTCAGCCCACCCAGGGATCAGGAGTGTCTGCCGGGATAAACTGCACGAGGTGTGCTCTGAACACCTGCTGGGAACGGATCTCCCAGGATCCCAGGGCTCATCCCACGGCTCGGGGCTGGAGGGCAGCTCCCAGAGCTCGCCCTGGGGAGTTAAGGGGAGGACACGGGAACCCAACGTGTTCTTATGGAAAACACCAACACATGAGGGACTGGATCTCCCATTGTGGAGGCTTTGTTCATCCCACAGGACTCCACTGCCTGTGTGACATCCTGGGCAAGGGAAGCCCCACACTGACCTCCTTCCATGGCAAGACAGAAAAATAAGGTGCATTTGCCACAAAAACATCACCATTTTTAACAGTGCTGATCCAAAACAGACCCCTGGAGATCAGATCTACCTCCCAGGGTTCCTAAAAAACAACCATCAAAATAAAACCAGAGAGGGAGATCTGTGGGGTTGGGCAGAGATCTAAGCAATTGCACAAGGCAGTGAGAGCTTCATCTGAGAGCTCATGTCTGCTCTGCCCGAGAGGCACAGGCTGCAGAGTGCAGTGCTGGGTCTCTCTGACACATCAGAAGAGCCTTTGCTGCAGCATTGCTGCCTTTGGATAAGATGGAGAGAAGCCAAGAAGCCCTGTCTATCAGACAGACTTTCTCTTGTTCCTCTTGACTCTGTTTTAATGTCTTTTTTATAAAGAAAAAGTCCACTCTTGTTTCACCCTTTGCGTCTTGAGCCACTGCTGGACCATAACTCTCATCTCTGGAGGTGCCTGGGAGTCACCATTTCATTCAATCCAAAGTAAATGACCTGAACTTGCACCCAAGTCTCTGGGAAGGAGGCAGCTGCTGTGCTCAAGTCCTTGAAATTTAAATACATCTCATCTCCAGTATCCACGTCGTGTGTTTCTCACAGATCAGAGTAAAAGAGGTTAAAGAAGCTGTTCTTTGCAAAGCTCTGTCATGGAATATCCTGAGTAGGAAGGGACTCACAAGGATCATCATGTTCAACCCCTGGCACTGCACAGGACACCCCCAAGAATCCCACAATGTGCCTGAGAGCTGTCCAAATGGAACATAAGGAACCCAAGTCCACGCTATGGAACAACTGCATTGGAAAACCACAGCACTGGAGCCAAACCACCATTCACTGGGACCCTGCTGTGGAATGAAGCTGCTCTAGTTTTCCCCTTCTGCCTGGGATTGATGGAGAGCTGTGCTGCCTGTGCCTGCAGCTGCACTCCCTTCCAGACAGGAGCATTCTGGTTCCCATACAACGCCCATTAGGAAGTTCTGCTGAACTATCCCAGCCTGTCTCATGTCATCCTTTTACACCACCTACTACTCCTTGGTGACAGAAGGGATCCCGTAGGCTTACCTAAATTCCACCGGGGGTGGAGGCAGGCTGTCATCTGGGAACGAGGGAGGTGGTGGCACAATAGAGTCAGTCTGTGGTGGTGGCGGGTAGCAGTTCCCATCCATGCTCTCGTTGGAGCCGATGCTGCCGTTCTGATACACCATGTTGGAGGGGTACCTGGGAAAACCAAGATAACCAGTTTGCTCAAAAAGCTCAAGGCAATGTCTAAAGTTCATTTTTTCCCCAGAGAAGCTGTGGCTGCCCCATCTCTGGAAGTGTCCAAGGCCAGGTTGGACAGGGCTTGGAGCAACCTGGTCTAGTGGAAGGTGTCCCTGCCCTCTGCAGTGGGTGGGACTGGATGGACTTTAAGGCCCTTTCCAACCCAAATCAGTCCATGATTTTACATCATTAAAAAAAACCCCTTCATTTCTCAAAGACTTCTACATGGAGAGCCACATACACTTGTATGTATTTGCTCTGTGTAATTCTTTGGCTAAAATTTCCTCAGCTGCTGCCCTGTTGACAGCTGCCACACACCACAACAGCAGGGGTGTATCTTTTAATAAACAAGCAAACACCTGAATAAATGCAATTTTTTTAACACTTGATTTTGTAAAGACACTTAAGAGTGTTTTGACCAAGTTGGACTTAAAAGAACTTGACATTACACTGAGTATTACCAGTGGCAAAAACAGAGATAGTCAAAGATGCCAAAAAATTAGCTCGAGAACAGACTGTCAAAATGGAAACTGCAGTGCCATTACAACAAGTATTCAAAACTGGAATAGTTCTGAAAAGAGACTCATGCTTTCAGTGGACTCATTTCACTGTGGGGAGGGAGAGCCACCCTATTTTTGGGGGCTCTGGACCCCAAGTGAATCCAAATGCAAGAACACACTCACATGAGAAAAGAGAGGAGCAAGAAAATGGTGCTGTTGTGCTGCTCGATTCCCCTGCTAGAAACCAAACCTGTTCTCTTATTAAACTAAAAGCAAGTTTTATTTTTAGCTGGAGAGTGTGATTTAAAGAGATATTTTTTTCTTATATGAAAGGAAGCTGCAAGGAAGAAGAGCATTGTGGGGAATTCGGTCTGCTTCCAGCCTTGCTGGTGTCAAAAGTTAAATGAATTCCCAAGCCAGAAGTGCTAAAGAGAGATCTGTAGCTTGAAATACTTGGATGGGGACAGCCCCCGCTTCAACTTAAGGGTGTGAAGAGCCATTTGTGAAATGTAACAAAGCCACCACACAATGGCACTGAGATGCCACCCTCAGCTGGGTGTGAGGGAAGGGCACCGTGGTGGGGCAGAGCCAAAGCTCCCAACACCTCTGTGCCCACAGGCAGCGAGAGCAGCCTGAGCTGTTCCTGCCACCTTGCTCCAACCGTGCAGCTCCCTGATTTATTTGGCAAATTTTAAATCAGCAGATGGATTTACTTTGGAGAATCTGATTAGTGGCAGTATTGATCTGTGGATCCGGAGGAGCTGCAGCACAGGGTGAACTGCATCCCAATCACCCAGCCCCAGACCTGCTTACCCAGCAGGACCGTGCTTGTCCTTTGACTCGACAAATTCTTGTCCCATTTTCAGCTTCTCCCACTCCTCTTTCCGGGTTTTGATTTTCCGTGGATTCACATTTCCTCTGTTAGGATTCTCCTTTTTCTCTTTCTGAGAGGGGAAGAATCAAACACAAGCTTTATTTTGCTTTAAATTCACTGGGAATAGAGAGGGACAGGAGAAACCTGGAGCAGTTACAAGAAGACACATTCTCAAAGAGGATTTTTAGTTTACTTTCCTGATTGCTGCACTCTGCAAAGATCGTCTATATAAAAAAGCTGGAGCACAGACGACACAAAAAATGCCAGACAACATCAGGCTGCTCAGTGCAGCCCAGACACGATGCCATCATCACCCCCTGGCATAAGCAGCTTGAGGGCAGAGTAAAAGCCCAGTTTCCCACATCAATTTAGGTTTTGGCCTCTGTGTTGAGATGCCCAAGTCTCACCTTCACCCTGAGTGCTCTGGAGTGCAATATGGACACTTGCCTGCAGAGAACTGGGCTTTAGATGGCCTCACTCACAATTCTAACACACCCTAAATCGCTCCTTTTCATTTTTCATTGAAGAATCACAATATGTTTTCATGTTTAATACTCCAGTTGCTCAAAAGCTAAATAAAGTATGTTAAGACTACATCTCTTATGCTATGATATAATTTAACATTAAGGCCCAAAGACGGTGGCATTTGGAAAAACCAATTAGAGGTATCTTGGTTCTCTTTTTATAATTAACAAGGATGTGGGTAAACCAGATACAAACTTCACTGAATTGATCCCATAGGAGTCCAGAAGAGCAGACCTGAATTTTGGATAGCAAATTTGGAGTCCAATATTTATTAACACTTCCCACGTCCTATTCGTCCCTTCCTCACCCTATGTTTCCGCTTTTCCTTCATGATATCCTTGGTGTCCTGAAGCATTTTCTCCTTCCAAAGGTCGAAGAAATATGAAGGATCTGTGTAGAATTTAAGTGCCTCCTTGCCATCATCCCTGGAACAGGGAGAGGAAAAAAATCACAGACAAGGATCGAGTCACACATTTCTCTGAAGGAAACACAAGGCACAATCTCAGACGGCAGTTTAAAAGTGCAGTGAGATGGTCACAAGCACTGTTCTTGCCTCTGGCCCCCATTCCAGAACAGGAAGAGACCCCCCATCTCAGTCATCCCAGCTGTCCCACGTCCCGTCCCTTTTGCCCTCACACAAACCCTTCATTACTCAGCACTGGAAGAGCTCAGCTGCTCTGAACAATCACCAGGACAGCAGCAGGTCTCTCACTTTAACTCCCTTTTGTTTGTGCTGTATTTCAGTGTGAAAAAACCTCCTCCTCCAGCTCAGGAACCCTAAATCAGACCAGCAGCGTCCTTGAAGCTCCTGAGTGAGCACACACAGACTCCCTCTCCTCCCACTTTGCAGTGCAGCCGCGTCTGGCAGGAGACAGCTGCCTCCAGCTATCTGTAATTACTTTTTACCTGCTCAGAAGGTATTTATGGATGTGGGATAAGTGTCTGGATTCTGACCCCCTTTACTTCTACAAGATGGAATCAGAGTGGGACTGGTTACACAGCCAGCATAGGTCCAGCCTGATGTCTCAGCCCAGGCACTGGAGGCCACAGGAAGCAGCAGCAGCAGCCTGCTGCACCCACCCTGGGCAAGAGCCACCTCCAGGGGAATGCTCTGCATCTCACACTGCAGCTCTTTGGAAAGGAGCCACTGAGCTACGGAGGAGCACAGGAAAAACACCTCATCTGCAGCACACCCAGCACGGCTCTGCAGTGCCAGCCACGCCTGGCCCACGGCACTCACAAAAGGGACAGCAGAAAAGAAAAGAGATCTACGTTCATTTGTATGACCTCAAAAGCAAAGTTTCACATAATCCAAAGGATGGAGATTTTCTGCTGGATTTGTTTAGCAGCTCAGTTTCCCAGTGGAAACAGCTACTTCAGCACAGGACGGGAAAGGACCTCCCCAGCAGGCTGGGAGGAAGGGGTTCTTCTCTGCAAGGGAACAAGCTGGGATTGCAGCCTTACCTGTAAGGTGAGAGGATGTTGAGAGGTGGAGGGGTATTGCAGGTCTTGTAGGTTTCGAGAACAGGCACAGGTAGAGAATCTCTGTCAAAGAGCTTCTGGTCCTGAGTGGTGGAGCTTTTGAAGGCCTTCCTTGTGTTAATGCCTTGCAAGGAGACTGTAAGGAAGAGGAGAGAACAAGTGAAGAACAGCTTGATCCAGGCCAATGACACTGAAGCCCAAGCAGTGAACATCTGATTTCAGTTGGAGTTCTTGGCATGCTTTGCAGTTCTTAAGGTCAGGTTCCTTTTCCCACAGATCCCTTGGGAAACCCATCCAATCTCCAGCGTGCTGCCAAGATCTGCTGCTCCATCTACACAGCTCTCCCTCGAGTGGCCCATAGGCTTTGGAACCCCTGTGACCCAGCTCAAGCAGCTCATGCAGCTCATCCACTGCCACCCAACTGCTGGAGAGCAAGTTCCCACATGAAGAGTCACTGCAGAGCAAAGCCAAAAAGGCTGGCCACAAGTGCTCTACTGGGAGGCAGGGAAACATTCCCTCCTAGCTCCAGAGAACACATTCCAGCACCCATGGCAGTGTGACGCCGGGTTTACGGTGCTGAACCAACCACGCTGACTCAACGAGAACCTTCACCACGCTCAGCCTGTGCTCCACTCCATTACCTTCCTCCTCTTTGGGATCCAGCTGAGTGACTTTGACTTGCAAGCGGTCAACTCTCTCGACCAGAATGCTCACCCGAGAGGCAAAGGTGTTGGCTTGAGTAAACAGCTCTCCAAATATGTCTTCTGCAGATTTACCTGCAATATTAAAGTGTCCACATTACCCTTATAAACCACATCAGACCATATTCAGTCTCCCAGCTTGTTTTCAGAAAGAAGGAAAGAAGGAGGGAACCACTCCTCATTTCAAGTTTGTCAGGGTTGAGTTTAACATCCAGGAAGAAAGCGCTTTGTTCCACCAGAAACTGACATTTCCAAGGGAACTTCAAGCAATAAGGAAACAATTGAGACATACTTTAAAGTCTATTAAAGCAACAAACTAAAGAGGGCTGACAACACTACACTGGCCTGAACGTGGATGGATCTGAAGGTCCTTTAAGATTCTCTGTTGTTCTGTTTATTAGACAAGGAAATACAGTTAGATTTTTATTGCCCTGGAGAATCTCAAAGGCTCCCAGTCTCCAGCAGGCCTGCCTCCAGGGGAGCTGGCACATATTCACAAGCTCAAAGCACTCTGGAAGTGAAGAGCAGACCCAGTCCTGGAACCCAAAGCTGGAACTGAAACTGCAGCTGATGACAGCACTGACCCTGCTGTTCCTTCAGGTGGCAGTGTCTGAAAAATGGATGCATTCACATTGATTCTAAATCAAAACCAAAGGGGAACTCCTCAATCAGGGACATTCTCTCTGGAACAGCTTGGACTATCCAGTGGGTGGCTATGACAAGCACCATCCATGGTTTGGGCCATGAGAGCACCCAAGGCTCAGATCAGGAGCTGCACCACTTGCAGGAGTAACAAACCCATGGCCCCATCCTTAGGAGTTTAAAACCTGCAGTGGAACAGGAGATGGCCACAGGTAGACAGAGGTGGGAGACCTGGAAGAAACCCAAGAACTTCCATCAAGTCCTGTGTTTCTGTTCTGCTCCCAGGCACAAGCCAGAGCAGGGAGCCCCAGCCACACTGAGGACAGCCCCGAGCAGAGCAGACTTGGCACCGACCGCAGACATGGGCCCGTGGTGCTCCCACTGATGGGAAACATTTCCAGCCACGGCTGCTGAGTACAAGGCTGCTCCCAATAAGCAGTCTGGTTTTGAAGTGCATCATCATATGGTCAACAGTTTGTTCTGGAATCTGTTACTCCTAAAGATCCTCTCTGACATTCAGAAAAGACAAACCAGTTGGAAGTCTGATTTCAACAGCAGTTTTGGAAAACGTGGTTGTCTACAGAGTCAGAGAGACAATGCACCCCTTGCACACGGCAAGGAGAGGGCATCCCCCAAAGCCCAGCTGCACAAACACTCCCAGCTATCTAACCCAACATATCCACTCCTTGTTCCTGCTCCCAGGAGATCTCCTTACACTGCCAAGCACAGGGAACAAGCCAGGTTAAAATTCAACCTTCTCCACCCCTTTTGGTGGCAATGCCAGGTCCAAGTGTTTGTAGAAAGCAAATGCTGAAGGTTAACTTCAACTGACCTCATCCTTCCACCCTCCCAGACAATGCAGACTCCACATGTGCTCAGTTAACAAACCCAAACTCATGAGGAGGATTTTATGTTTGGAGATCTAAGGCCAGGTAGCTCTTGCTGTAGACATGTTTCATGAAGCAATCTCCATTTTCCACATCAGCACAAACCAGCTCTCCTATCTGACCAAAAAGAGTACAAATTTATCTGGGGGAAAATGCAAAACCTTCCAGAAATGGCTCAAAAAAAGAAAAGTTGTAATTTCATTTCTACTTCCACAAGAAGTGAAAAACATTTCTGAATTTCACAAGGAACTGCAACAAGCACTAGGGGAAAAATTACATCTTTGGTTTGCAAAGTGTATTTCAAGTATAAAATAACATATAACAGCATTTTCTATACTGGTTTTGACCCTGAAGAGAGAAGAGATGGTCTGTGTTCCGTTGCCTGTGTAAGTGCACCTGGAGTTATCACCCAGCATCTCACACATCACCTGCGCCTCACAAACACTTTTAGATGGGGTAAGACAGAGATTAATTTTTTAGTTTAGTTACTTTGACTGCAAAAGTGCAGCTCACAATCAGAATTATCTTTGTCATGCACTGGCAGGAAGACAGACGGCATGATTTAATAGGTCCTTCCATCTTTAGCTTGTGGATTCTGTAAAATCACACAAAACCGCGCAGTCGACTTATACAAAGTGCTCCCAGCTGCGATAGTAACGAAGGGTAAACTCACTGGAATATGAAAGTTTGACAAGATTTATGTTTGCATCTTTGTAAAGAGACTGTGGTGCACCAGGCATGGCTGATTATTCACTTGACAGGGCTGTCACAGCCTACTGAACCTGCTCTACGTTCCTGTAATAGTCAAGGTAGAGGAGAGGATTTGTTTTTCGGAGGAGAGGAAAGGGCGGGGGGCAGGAGTTTGGTCACTTGGGTGCGAGCGGGGTCTGCGAGCTGCCATTTGGCTCCCAATGCTCCAGAAGCACAGAAGCTTTGAATATCTGCGCAAAGAAGGTCTAAACCTGTGGGATCTGGCCAGGGCTGTCACACTAACCCACAGCGTGTCTCTGAACAGGGATGGGCTTTCCCTGCAGCTGGGCTTTGCACAGCTTTACTGCCTCCTTCCTCACCATTTCACATGCATGAGATGGATTTCACTCACACTCCACAACCATCTTGGCTACCAGACCTAACAAATGAACAACGAGGGCCAGTTGAACGCGAGCAGAGAGCCTGGTCTCGCCTGTGCGGTGACATTTCTCCAACCCAACAGAATGTGACACCGACTGGCAGCAAACACGGGCCCAGATTTCAGTGACAGCCATGGTTTGCACTGCTGGAAAGAGGCTGCACCCAAACTTTGCCTGCCACATGGCGGAAGACAAGGGCTTGCTTTGCAGAGCAAGCAGAAGGGCTTGCAAACACCCCAGAGAAGCTAAACAATAGATTAATTTGATTATCAAAGTCTCCCTTCAAGGACAAAGGTGGTTAATCAGAACCCAGAGCGTTTCAAGAGAGTATGGAGTCATCCCAGAGAGACCACAATTAACTCTTCGTTTCTCCTGTGGCATGTAGGCCTCTGTTTTCCCTCCAGCTTCTCCAAGGCTACAGGTCAGCCCACTGGAGAGCTGAGCCAGGCACTGCTCCAGCTCACGCTGCCATTTGAGCAAGCTGCCCCAAACCGCCGACGCTCTGGAGGCACCACGTGGCTCAGACAGGTCTTTGGGTCTCACAACGCAGCAAACAGCAGCAGGGGCAAACAGGAGCTTCTGTTTGCTTTCATTATCTTTCATTAAAAATAAGACTACTGACATGGTGTAGATTCAACAGAGTCAAGCTCCATTTAGTAGCGCATGCAATTACAGGCACGTTCTCTGACACAAGATCCTGCCTGCTCCGAGAGCCTCCCATTTTACAAGCCTGAGTTGTGCTCCATCCTTCCATCTGCAGTTTCACTGCAGCCTCTCACATGCACACACACATACACACACCTCCCTCCCCATTTTCTCTTAGATAGGAAGGCAGTGGGACCAGGGATATGAAATTAGCATCAGATTTCTTTAGGAAAACATTTTAGCATTACCCAGGGAAGGCAGATGGGGGAGAAATAGGAACACAAGAGTAGAAAGGGAGCTAAATAAAGAGCAGTAGCGACTCCTGAGGGCAACGCGCAGGCTCGCCATGGTACTCACTCAGGCTGCCCAGCTGTCGAATGACATTTGCCAGGGTGATGTTGGTCACGCATTCCAGCTCGCTCGGAACGCTAGGCAACGTCTGACGGCACAGGTGCCTTGGCTCAATGTTCCTCGTTACTAACGGCATGGTGGACCTGCTTCAGGCACTGTTCTGAAAGATGAAAAACAACCCAAAAAAGAAACAGGAAAGGATTACTCAACCGCAAATTCCAGGCACACCAGAGCCATGGTGTTCGTTTTTCCTGCTCTCAAATGGCTTTACTTATAAGCCTTCTTTCACCCCCTCCCCACCCCGAGAAAACTGGTTCATCAAAAATAAAGATCCTCCTGTTCTCTGACTCGTGGTGACAGCAGAGCCCCCCAGCCCAGGTACAGAGGCAGAGATGGAGAGCTCCACACCTCTGCCCACGTTCCCAGCGCTGCTGAAGCGCCGCTGCCTGGACAGGGCTCCTGCCTCCCGCGCTCACACGGCCCTGGCACGACTCTTACGAGCTCCTCTTCGGAAACATTTCCAACTCGCAATCAATCGTTGCTTAAACCGTGCAGATGAAGACAGGAGATGTTATTACACAAAAAAACCAAGAACAAAGCAGCTTCTCCCAGCACGCCAAAGCACGCCTGGTGCCTCCCTCCTGGAGCAGCACACGGGGCTCTCCTGGAACAACAGGAAGCGCTTGCAGCTGACCAGGAAACTTTCTGGTGACTGTTCCTTATCCTGCAGGCTGCACCCCTCTTCCCCTGGGAAATCCCCCGGGATGAGGTTTACACTGGACCATTGTTTTCGTGCTAGAGCAGTTTAAAGTTGAGGGAGCTCTAATCAGGATGCAGGACTGGAGTGTGTTCAGAAAGAAGTCAGGATTGATTGTACAACAGGCAGGACAAACTTCCAGTTCTTTAAAAAACTAATAAAATAAAAAAACAGATGAAAACCCAAGTGTCGGGAAGTTATGCTTTGGACAGAAAACGCTTTTATGTGCAGGTTGGTGTCAGGGTCTTGAACTAACAAAAATCTTTGCTACCAGGCCCAAATGTTGAAGTATCAACCAGCTCCCTCCCAGATCATCCAGCTCCAAGAAGGAGAAGGAAACCTGTGTGACCAGCTCACTGCAAGGAGCATCACACATGCCTGAAATCTTCAGGACTAAGTGAAAGCAAATACATCCCAAGTTCTTGATTAATTTAGAAGGGGAAAGAATCACTTTTCTAGGTCAGCTGAGGAACAACCCAAGAGAAGCAGGCAGCTCCCATGTGATAGGCATGCGGATCTGCTCGGGCTGGGTGTAAAAATAAAACAGGAAGCGAACAGCTTGGGGAACATGGCTTCCTGTCACCACCAGCAAAAACCCAAGAACCATAAAAAATCAGCTGTTTGCTCTTGACTTTGAGCCACCCTTTGATAGTCTCTGTGGCAGCTGGCAGCTTATCTTTGAGGTCCAGGAGTCCTTCCTGGATGCTTTTCTATCAGGGTGTTAAGAGGAAGAAGTGGGCATTATCCCTCCTAATTACCTCAGAAGCCAGATTTTGAATTGCTAAATTTGACCCATTAAGGCAGAGGAGTTCAAGAGCTGCAGCACCGGGCGCTGGGATATCTCCCAGACAAGCAGATGTAGGTTGCTACCATTTTGCAATGCCTCTACACAAGGGATTTCACAGCATCTCAGAATGCCAGGATGCTTTGGGTTGGAAAGGACCTTAAAGCTCATCCTGTTCCAACCTCTTGTCACGAGACCAGGCTGCACAGAAAGGGTCCCCAAAACCAGCACCTTACGGAGCAGGGGAGCCAGATCTGCATCCAAATAAATAAAAGCAAGACCCTCAGAGGATGGAGTCCGTGTTGTTTTTCCCTGTGTCCGCTGCAGCCATCAGTAACTGCTGGGATATTTAAGGAACAGGGTGAGCTAAGGAAGGGCTCTGACCTTCCCTTCCCAGCACCCTGTGTTTTATTGATTCCAGCCCAAGCCCTACAATCTTTTGTCAGCTTTAGTGCTTCATGCCAGACAAACTTTCCCAGCTCCCCCCAGACTGCAGTCTGCACCAACAAGCAGCTCTCATAAACAAGGCAGCATTTGCAGGCTGCCTGCATCCAGCTTCTCCCCTGTGCTTCCCCAGGGCTCGGCCAGGGAGCACACATGGTGGGATCTGCAGAGCTGGAGTGGACAGCCTGCCTGGAAACCTTCCAAGGTGGAGGACAGACAGAAGGAAAACAGCAACAGGAATAATAAGCCTGGAAGTGGGAGATGAGATGTGAGTATACTGTATAAAAGGAGACAAAAAACCCCCCAAGATGATGGTAGCATGGTAGGATAAACGCAGGTAACATTCATCTCTGCAAGGATGGGGAAAACAGGGCAGAAAATGGGAGCAGTGCCTCAAATACCAACAAAAAAAAGCTCTGAATACATTGCCTGCATACAGACACCCCAAAAGTGCTTGCCTTTTAACTTAAGTATGTTATGAAAGTAAAAACAAGGAGTAGTGGTGAAAACTGCTTTTCTTGAAAGAAAAACTAAGGTGGAGCACATGTACAGCACAAATTTGCACTGGTGCAAGACAGCAGAGATAAAGGCTAAGAAAGTCTCCCTTTATAGCCCAGCTCATCCTGCCAGCCACACTCCACTGCAGAAGGAGAGTTTAACCCTCATGATCACAGCAGCGCTTCCCAAGGCCATGGGGACAGCTCTGCTGCCCCTAAAGCCAGCCAGGATCCAGCAAACTGAGGGATTAAATTAACCCTGTGGAGCATCAGAGATGATCAGGGCAGGAAGGGCAGGAGGGGCTATGGACAAACACCCTGCTCTCCCAGAAGAGATTTTGGATAAGAGGCATTTTAAAGCTAAAATTCCTCTCTTATGAGCAGAAGGATGAGGAGCTTCAAGATTTTATGAAGGAAATCTGGGACCTGCAAAAAGAGCAGGTGATGTCCCCACAAGAACACGGTAAGACCTTGCTTTTTCCTGGAGTGTTTGGAGGGTAGGGATAGAGATAACAGCTAATGGGCTCCTGTAAAACCTTCATGCCTCATGAGTAGGTGGGACAAAGATTAATAGTGTGGATTGGAAAATAAGTGGTGTATCTCAAAGGCAGGAGTCAGGTAGGACAGAAAACCAGGTGTGGAGAAGGGACAAGGTATGGGAGCAAAGGGGGAAGGGGAAGAGGAAGCAAAACACTGGAGGTGGCACAAGGCGTGAGCTGGGGGCAGGGAGGAGATGCAGTAAATGAAAGAAGGGACAGAGCTAAAAAAGCTTTCTGGGAGGCTCGTGCTGTTATTCGTTAAGAGACTCATTAAGGAGGCGACTGACAGCGCAGTGCCAAGCACGGGCCATCCAGAACAGCTTCACTTTCTGTGCTCAGGGCATGACAGCACAGCAGAATTGCACCCTGGCTGGCCAGCCTGGTCATCAGGCATTAGTCACTGTCACACAATGACCGCAGACCATATATTATAACTAAATCCTACCATTCAGATGCTTTAAATGAATTGCAAGGCCGAAAATCTTTATCTTTGGGGTAAAGATAAGCACTTCCATTTGCTTATGAATTCTGGAGATTAGATTTGTTTCAGGAGTGTAGAGTTTTGGGGTGCAAACAATGTTTTTAAAGAAGCTGCAAGAATGACATGGGCACAGAGGAGCTGCCCTGATCCCAGTGTAACAGGAGAGAAGATCAAGTATGTTAGAAGTAAAAGGAAACTGCCTCTAGAAACAGAAAACTGCAACAGATTTCTAATGAATATGGAAAACAAAGAAAGGCATCAAATTGAAACACAGTGCGAGGAAAGAAGTTCAGTGATCTCTGCTGGCTGCAAGAGCCGTAAGGAAAATCCACAAATCCTGCTGCATCAATCCACACTCAAAAGACTCATCCTCCCAACCACTGTGCTTCACACCTTCTTAAAAACAAGGAAACAAATGATTTTCCTCTCCCACTTGAACCAGACCCTTCCTACCTGCTCCCAAGGACTTCCTCTGAAGCCTCCAAGTCATGACTTGAATCCCAGAAGGCTCTAAGAGCCTTGATGATGTTGTGACGGCAGTGACTAAAAGCCAAACCATCTGAAAAGCCCAGCTTCGCCCCGCAGCTTCTTTCCCCTTGCTGCCCCACCTACAGCTGGGCATTGCCAGGATGCCTCATAATTTCCCCTCTCCTAAAATGCTTACACAGGCTCTGCCGAGCCCTGGCCTGCTCCAGCCCAGAGTCTGCTGAGTATGAAAAAGCCCTGGAAGCTGAATTCACTGCTCCTATATTCCTACTGATTTTCCAGCCTCAACTGGCACTTTGTTTCCAGGATTCACCGGGTTTTTGCTCCCCATCATCCTTCCCCACAACTCCAGTCCTTTCTCACTGCACACATCATGGGTGCCTTCGTGCTTTTCCAGGAAAGCAGGATCCATGAGTAGAGCTTCATCCCGTGGCTGCTCCTGCCACCCTGCTCCTGCCACAAGAAGCTCTCACCTTGAATGTCCTGCTCACCAGCTTTTAAGAGGATTCTGCCTTTGGCAATTAGTTCTGCAAATACTCTTGGGCACTGGGGAACAAGCGTGGCCCAACACAGGCTTGAAAAGGGGGAAAAATGTGTGACTTGCGACTCTTGCCTTTTGGAATCCAGCACTTTAAGCAAAGCCGAGGTAAATCCAAGATCAGCATGCTGCTCCAAGATTTCTTATCAGCAAGCCATCGACCGCTCTCCCCATGAGCTCTGCTGCAGCAGATCACTCAGGAATCCCAGCTCTGGATTAGAATCAAGTACAATTGGTTTGTTTCAAACAAGAACTGCCAGTACATAAACCCCTCGCACAAAGCCACGTCTTATTGACTATTTTTAATAAATAGGGCTGGCACAGTAAAATTGAACAATTGTTAGGAACAATAAAGGAGACAGACTTTGATTACAACGATTGAGAAGCAATACAGGGATGTTTTAGGATTGAGTATTTGCTTTCCAAGGCGAGTTCTGTCAACTGAAAACAGCAACTCGGAGCGAATACTCCTTAACAAGTGGTTTGAAGCAGAGCAGAAATCAGCACTGCACAGCAAGACAGGAACCAGACCTGTTTTTTGGGTTTTTTTTGTAGAGCAGGCAGATAGCACAGTCACTGTGGTGGTGCAGAGGAGAAGGCAGGCAGGACTCCAAGGCGAGCCCTGCGGATGCATCGCACACAAAGAGCTGTAAATAACAGGTGAGTTGGAGCGAGAGATCTGGCAAGGTTCTCCCCATTGGTATTTGACCAGTTAGCATAGCGTTACTGGGAGTCACCTGGGTAATTCCCCGCTCAATGTGACACACAACCTCTTAGATCAGGGACCATCTGCAAATAAATCTGGACCCCAGCAGTGAGATCATCTGTCATAGTGTCTGGTGTAGCACAAAGCACCTAAGGAGGGCAGAGTGCTTTTTTTGGAGAAGGGAAGGGAATTTAGGCTTGATTTCCAAGTACGTCAGGGTGAGCAACCACCCTGCCCTGGGCTGGGCTTACAGAAT